AACAGAATGGAATAGAAAAGGTAAGTAAGTGATGCACTGGACCAGCAGGTCAGAAGTAGCTGACTGTACCTCGAGCCAGCTGGAGGGCTGACTCACCTGGAGTAACGCGAGACCAGGAACAAACAGTGTTGGAATGACAGAGACAGCAGGTAGGTAGGCTTTGGTTCACTCTTCAGTGCTCTGTTTACAGTCCTGCATCCCTGTGGATGACATGCCGCCTTCCCAGTCTTAGAAATTGTAACTGTGTCACCTGTAAAGAAAAACCTGAACTCTTCTCACCCGACTTCCTCAGAGAGAACTTTAGAGGGCACTAGTTACTGGCTTTGCTGCACGCCGTGATTCGAATGCAAATATTATCTCCTTTAGAGTTACTGTGTCAGAGGGATGAGTGGGATTATAAAAACTTGCTTCCATTCCTTTATTTCAGGGTCAGCAGTATCTCAAAAGTTGGTACCGGCATAATGTGATTCAAACTATCCCAACGGCTTCCTTCTTAAATAAGCATTCTAAGCCCCTTATAAATCTGGGTTCACCAACTCCATCCCTTTAAGTAAGCTCCAAATCGAATGCCTAAAGAAGACCCCTGGGATGGAGTTGTCGTGAGGGAGAAAAGCAGGTGGCACATTCTTCCCAAGGTGGGGAAAGACCCAGCCCAAGGAAAGATCAAATCTCTCCAGGCCCGGAGCTTATGGAAGCAAGTGAGATCATGGTGAATGGTAGGTAATTTTGTCTATGCGCACTAAGCAAGTCTAAATAAAGTGAGTATTAGTAGTCGGAGTGAAAAGTAAGAAGATTTCTAGTTAATAATCTCTCGGAGGCTCCACTGGTTCAGGAGTCATCAAGTGGAGCGCCTTATATTCGTTCTGAGTCTCCTAGAGAGATTATTCACGATCTACACAACTAAATGAAATTCTAAGTAGAAATCAAATGCATGCTTAAGAAAGAGAAATATTTAGCAGAAGTCCAAAGAAAATCCAAAAAGTCCCTGATTTGGAACTCGAATATGAGAAAAGCCAACATTTCAAGTGTTGTTATAAAACCTCCGTGTCTTCGCTTTAACTCTTCTCTATGCCTAGCATGTCCCTATGTCCCTATGTCCCTCTCCAGCACAGGAAAGCGTGAGGTCAAGGCGTCAGCTCCTCTGTGGAAACCGGCCAGTCCTCCCTTTGTCCACCACCCCTCCCGGCCTTGGACTGGCTTCCAGCATGGCCTTTGGACATGTGCTTATTGATCACGTGTCTTTCACCCACCTCTACCCTCACCTCCCTCTCATTCCCCAAGGAATACCCAGGGTCTGTGTTACTCCTGTCTACATCCTCAGGGCTCAGAGCCACAGTGGTTCCTCAGGCTAAGTGGTGTGAAGGTTACCAGCCGTTCTCATCTGCCTTTCCTCTCATTCCTGATACTTTTTCTCTTCTGTGAGCAGAGAGAGAGGTTTATGGATACTCGTGAATGCCTTCCCGCCTCTGCCCGCTTCTCAAAGCATTCTGCTTCCTCGATACTCCCGCCTAAGCAGGGATTTGCAGGAAGATAAGCTAAACCGCTCTCTCACCAAATGGCTCAGCATGTGCCACACACACACAGCTGTGTGTGTGGTCAGCAACCAGTGGTTGGATCTGGCCTGCGAGGCCTGTTCCTCCGGCTTCCAGCCTCACTCGGCACTCGGTGCCTGTGACTTTTACCCACAGCCCCTTCTGTAGGTACCTCTGGCTCTTGGCCCAAGTTATAACATTACTAACTTCCTTTCTTTTTCTCTAACTCCTGGGAATGCTCCCCATAATTTAAAACAGATTAGCTGACGTTTTATCCAGTTTGTGTATGTACCTCGGAAAGCCTTGTACCGGAGGCCGTAGAGTTATGGCTCATGATTAACTCAGGATGGTTTGTATTTATTTCTAGAAAAAGCTGAGCATCAGCCTGTGATCAAGCATGTAACCCTTTGTCACAGCATTGTTCCCATAATAATGTGTAAGTCAATTTAAGTGCTTTTCTGTGCTTGTCGTACCTTTGAGGACCACTCTTCCATCCTTTCGTAATCATTTTTCACCATGGCTGGTCACAAAAAATTCCACTTGAACTTCCGACTGATGTGTTTGGGGCCCATTCCACAGTGTCCGCCCTTTGAGATCCTTCGTCATTGCAATCACTAAATGCAGTCATCAGATTTTGTGCCGTGGCAACTAGTGTTAAGAATTTCTAGGGAAATTCCCTTCTGAATGTTCAGGGCCTGCTTTCTAGGACGTACGATCCGAGTGTTTCTTACTCTTCTCTGTTACTTGATCCCCGCTGTCTCTTCCATGGGTGTTTCTTTCCACCTGCGCGTGGTTTCTAAGTGGAGGTTCATGCAGCGTAAGCACAAGTCCAGCCACGGGCAGAAGTGTCTGGCGAGGCTGTGCTGTCCCGGTGTGGATTACACCTTCCCCGGTTGCTGAGCCAGCGTCCCAGGTAAAGGCGCAGGAGCAACAGCTGTGATTTCAGTGATTACATGTTTAGTGTGGTCAGAGGAGTTTGTGTTAGAACTTGCTGATCCCTCTTGGCTCAGACTGTCTGCTCTCCGTGCTGTCTCGATGGGGATGATGCGGAGGCTCAGACCCAGCCTGAGAGATGAGTCCCCGCGTAGACGTCAGATGTGCTGCCCTCTTTAATTAAGTTTCTGAGGGACTTGGGAAGGACTAGCACTATCAAGGCAGCTTGCTTTGTACACCATGTTTGAAAAGGCCCCTTCGTAATTATGTTTTCTCATTCGCCCCTCATTCGATTAGGGTCTCCGTTTGACCAATGAGGAAATTCGAACCATGGTTCTCCGCTCCATCATCCTAACCACTATTTTAGCATGTTGTCGCTTTCTCTCTAATGCTTTTGATCCATTTTCCTTTTCAGAATCTCTATTGTCTACATGTAGTTCGTGATAACCTTCCTCAAATCCCTTTTTTGGAGAGATCAAGGCAGAATTTAAATTTATTAGTAACTCGCCCAGTATTAGGGAACCAGTTAGTGGCAGAATTATTACTTGGAACCTGATCGTCCTCAAACAGCCTGGGCCATAAACACCGCCCAGCTCCCACCCCACTCCCACTGTGCTTAGCTTGTTCCTCCCTTTCTGTTCCCCCCATATGGTTCACGGATAAGGAGCATGAAGCTGGCTCAGCTGCCCTCACCTTCGCCGAGCTTCTTCTAAGGCGAACACCTCATATAACTATGGGACATTTATCAAAACAAAGACATTAATATCGGTAGAATACTCTTTACTAAGTTACAGTCTTTTGCCTGCTTTTTATATATAACGAATGCTCGGGACTGTTTATGATGGGCAGTCTTCGAAGGACACATTATATTTGTATGATGGTATATTTTTAGCTGCATTGGAGAGAGTATGATCTGGAAAATGGGCTTGGGGACATCGACCTGGATGTGAAAATGCATGGATGGAGAATTCGATGACGTGCAGCCGAGTCTCCCCGTTTCCCTCCCATCCGTTGCTCTCTGTGTATTGAAGATGTCTGGAGCCCCAGTCCTGCTGTCTCTAACCCCAGGGAGAACGCTGATGCTCTGCGTGTTCATTTTCCAGATTCTAGTTTTGATCGATCATTGTTGGCCACTCTTGCAGCTTTGATGCTCTCATTTCATAAGATGACGTGGCACATTATTTAGTTGTTTCAAACTCTCACTGCTTAGACCTACTGCATCAGAAATTCAGGGGTGGGGGTGGGGTGTGATCTGTGTTGTAACGAGCCCCCTCCAGGGGATTCTGATGCCGACGAGGGCATCAGAGAGGGCTTGCTATGTGCTGGTTCTCAGCAATTGTCCCCCTCATGTTAATCTCAGTTGCTGGTATATCCTATGTGTCTGCATGTTGGACTCAATTAGCATCATCTTTCAGCTCCCCTTGCTAGGACACAGGTTGTCGCCTCTTTGAATGAGGAAGAAAGAACTTCGACTTGCACCTGTGCTAATTGCAGTGTTAGAGATAATCAATATTAACTCTTAATACTACTAAGAAACTCTAAGTATTTTATAAGCATCGAATTGGTTGATTAATCAAAATATTCCTCCTAGAGAGTACAAAAGCTTTTTTTCAAAAGTAGGTGGAGACTGACAAATCTATTTAAAAAAATTTTTTTAATGTAAGTGTTTTCATTTTCAATTGATTTCTCTACTTTTCACAAGATCTTCTAAATAATAATTTCTAGCCACTAACTGTGAACAGACAAAAAGATCATGGGATAGACTAGACGTTTGTGATTCATCACTACCATCTAACGCTGTGAATTTGATGAGCTTGTTCTGAATGGCTCCTCAAGCATAAAATAAGAGAGAACCATGTCATTCAATGTGGGAGATGCATTTCAAATTAGGATAAGCAACAAATATACCTGAAGACATCAAAAGAAGTTCAGTCTAAACCTTAGGCTCTGTCAAGTGGCCACAATTC